AAAACGAAATAGGTTCATGGCCACATAGCACTCTGTGAGGATGGATGGGGGCAGAGGTAGAGAACCATGAGAAAGGTTTTACTGGCATAAGTGACAGTTGTACATAAAAAGGCACATGTACAGACAAAATTAAGGTAAGTCATAATCTATTTTAAGTGATGGAAAGGAGGCACCAAGGGCTACCATAAGACCCCAAGTTAAGGAGACAGAACAGGAAAGTTTAACAAAAACTCCACTGGAGATTGAAGATTTGGGTTGGCTTGAGAGATGTGTATAACTTCAAACAGGTGAAGAAGGGGGATCAAAAAAAAAGGGCCCTCCAATAGAACAACATGAGCAAAGGGATGGAGAAGAGAATATGTAAGTCATGTAGGAAAATCAACAAAGATTGCCTTGAGGTTTGTCCTGAAGATCAAATAACTCCAAGGTCAAACTCCTTGGGTGAGACAAAGAAGGCACTTGGGTTTCAATCACAAATTTTTATTGAGCATCTACTATGTGCAGACACTGTTCTGAGAAATGGGGATATATACAGCCTTGAAAAAGCCAACAGAAGTCCTGCTTTCATGTTGCTTATGGAACAGTTGTCTAATAATGCCTCTGTGTCTGTGTGGTTGTACTTTGTTTTATTTACATTTAAATTAGTATACTTACTATAAAATATTTAATATTACTTAAGAGAAATAAACCGGAAATAAGGAAAAAGGGAGGAAAAAAGTAACAGTCTCTTACACCCTTCCCACCCAACCACCAACCCCCCTTTCCTGAGATAACCACCATTAACAGATACTTTCTTGTCCTTCCCAAAATCTGTGTATCTACAAATATATAGTACACACATATAATTATAGTAAACTCATAAATTTGCATCTTACTTTATTGACTGGCAGTATATCTTGGGGAGTCATCCATGCCAATACATGGAAATCCACGTATTATATTGAATAACTGCATTATAATTCGTCTGTGTCTAGAACTGTGTTCACTGTGCATGTCTACAAGTATATCTGTGGGATAAATTCCTAGCTGTGGGACTAGAATGTGTATTTCTCACTTCAGTAAATATTGTCAATCAGCTTCCAACGAGATTGTACCAGGATACTCTTGAGGAAGTAATAGTACTGCCAACAAAGAGACATCTCTTCCCCTCAAGACAAAGAAAGAAAAGTAATTTATTATTGAGTAAGCACAACATAGTACACACAGGTATGTCAGGATGAAATTCCACACATTTTATACAGCAAAGCAAAAACAGTAAAATTTCTCTTGTCTCCTCCAGAGACAAAGGGTTAGTTAGAGAAGGAGGTAGGCTGCATGCCAGGTTGACTCTAGAAAGGACCATCTCTGTTGCAAACCTGAGGCTGGGCTTATCCAGCCCCTTGAGAGATCCAATTACATTCAACAAGGTTAGAGCAAAGCAAGAGGCTCAGGATCACTAGGTTTGAAAGGACGCCATTTGTAGAAAGAAAAGAAAGCAGCTGCCTCCCTTCTCTTTATAAGCAAAGAAAATTCCTTTTTAAAACAGTGTATCCTTGCCAAGAGTGGAGCAGTGCCTGTTTAAGGGTAGTGAGTGGGGCGGTGGTCTGGTTTTTCTAGTTTACATCTAGGTTTAAATAAAATAAAGAGGTGTGTTGAAATGCCCTGTGATGCTTCCCACTACCCAAGTTACTCTCTTCTCAGGTCAAGCCCTATGCTTGATCCAATGGGCCGTGATGGGAGGACCCAGTGGACAGGGCAGGACTTCTGTTTTCTGGGAATTCTCTAGTTTGGGGCAGAATGGCACACAATGCCATAGACCACAGGAAAGGAAGGCAGTTTCTGCTTAGGAACATCTTTGCAGTGAGGGAGGGGTTTACAGAAGAGCTGGAATGCAAGCTGAGTCTCCTTCAAGGTTAGAAGGATCATGTCTTATGCCCAGAGTTTTATTTTGAAAATGTTCAACCTTCAGTAAACTGGAATAGTAAATACTCATATAACCTATATACAAAGTTGCAAACAGTGTGACCTTTTGCCTACATGGATTTCAGCCCATCTCCTACTTACTGCAAAGACATTCTCATAAACGAGAGAGTTAATGTTAATTCAGTAATATCACTTAATAATGATATGCAGCCCATACTTTAATTTCCCCACTTGTCCAAAGACATCTTCTACAGGCACTGTGCCCTGTTTGGTTTGGAGATCCAGAATCCACTGTCAGGTTGCACCCTGCATTTGGTTATTCCTATTAATCTAGAACGTTCCTATTTCAAGGGTGGTCCTGGAAGCTGATTAGAAATTCAGAATCCCAGGCCCCATTCTAGATCTACTGGATTGAAATTTTTGTTTTAACAAGGTCCCCAGGGATCTATGCACATTCAAGCCTGAGAAGCAATGATCCAACCATCTTCTCTGCCCTTTGTTCTGTTTCAATGACACTGACTTTTTCGGAGGGTCCAAGCTAGTTTCATTGTAGAATAACTCACCTTTTGGATTTGTCTTAGTGTTTACTTGTCATTATATGAGAGGAAACATTTTGGCAGTTATAGTGCACAGGTAATGTTTTATATACTTCTTATTGTAGCATGGCTAGAGACATATGTCAGGTTGTCCCATGAGTGGCAATGATGGTTAGTCACTTGATTAAGTTGGTCTCTTCTGTAAAACTCTTTCTTTCTTTCTTACTAATGAGTAATCTATGGGGTGATGCTCTGGGGGTAGAAGGTTAATGATTGCCTGATTCTATCACTACTTCCACATTTATCAGCCGGCATTCTCCAATGGAGAAGAGCTCTCCATTGGAAAGATGGGGCAGGAGGAGTTGGGACAGAGCATTCCAGGTGAGGGAAATAGTGAGCAGAGGTGCATTCCAGAGGAAGGCAAGCCCAGGTGGGAGGAGAGTAATGGAGAGCCAGAACTGTGGTCAGTTAGGCTACACAGGGGAGCAGCAGGAAGTAAACCCAGGTGGCAAGAAGCATTGATGGAGGAAGGGGAGAGGATAGGATTCCATCCCCATCGGCAGTCCAGGAAGAAGTTTTCCTCAACCCACACACTCAGCCTCCTGTAGCCATTCCCCATTCCTTGGAAAAGGAAGACCTCAGTTGTCCTAACTGCCTCTTGAGTGATGACTTTAAGCCTGGTTCTTCAAAGTATGGTCCATGGCTTAGCAGACTGGCATCACTGGGAGCCCATTAGGAATTCATAGCTTAAAGACTCATCTCAGACCTACTGAACCAGAACCAGCAGTTGAAGAAGACCCCCACTGGGAGAATCATTGCTTGGAGCCGTTCTATTCCAATTCCCACTTTCATGAACCATATCAAGACAAAGACTGCTAATACAAATCTTCTCCTGGGAATTTTCTATGACCTCCATCCACTTTCTCATAATGTCCCAGGAGATTTTTCTACCCCAGCTTAATCCTGCCCTACCCTAAGTAAGGCACTGTGGTATGCCATCCAACTCAACACACCTGAGTTTGAGTCCTCTCCCCGCTATTTACTATCTGTTGGGCCTTCTGTAATCATTAAGTCACTTCTCTAAGTCTTGTTTAGTCACTAACTCTTGGAGTAAAAGCCAAATAAAATAAGGCATTTAACCTCAGAGGATTAAGTGCTTTGTCATGTTAACTTGAAAATAAGAGGCATTTCTGGCAAAGATCTCTGTGACCCACCTTACAAGACAGCGTGAGGCCAGCAAAGAAGGGGATATGGAGTCCCCTTTGGCCATTTTCAATCAAAGAGAGCATCTTCTGTCAAAAGCAAATTTGGGAGCTGATTCCCCTGCATAGCATTAGGATCAAGACAGTAGCAAAAATAGGTACAATTTTCAAGCATTCACTAACACTTTATATATAACATTTTATCATGCCTGCAACAACTCAGTGGAGGGAGGGATAATTAGCCCTGTAATCACAGTGATTAAAGGAAATGAGGAAACAGAGTCCTCGGTAGGCAAGATAATTGGGATTGGGTCATTTCACCTGGATGAGCAGGTTAAATGTGACAGTTCCTCCCTCCATGCACAGAAATGTTGGAGGCACCCAGAGTCTAAGCTGAAAGAGGTATACCGAAGTGTAGCTGGTTGGTAACCATGGAGATGAAGTTTCCTGAGCTACTCAGTGAAGCTGAGAATGGCAACCTGAGGGTCCATTGGCTTGTGCCTGTGTCTAGCCTACATACTTTTCCCCTCAAAGCCAAATCACTGAGCAAGATGGTTCACATTTCCCCAGCCAGGATCCAGATCCCCAGGCAAGACATGGGAGAGAATTCTAGGATGAGAGGCACCTGCCAAAGAGAAACTAATGGACAGCCCTTAGCATAGTACCCAGGGCACATACAGTCCTCAGCAAATTTTAAAAGCCATCATCCCTTTGTACCTTGCGTTTCTATCTCCAAATGGGAGGGGAGAGGGGGCAAGAATGAGCTTTCCTATTATTGGCCTCTGAGGATAGCCACTGTTCTGGGGAAGTGGAAAGGGCACCAGAGAACTTTGGTTCAGATCTGCCACTAGTTGACTCACGAGTGCCTCAGTTTCCTCTTCTGTAAAAATAGTTTGATGGACTGAGAGATGTCTAGGCTCCCTCTGGCTCTGATTCTCTGATTTTGCCTACCATGGGCAGCCAGGAGAAGTAGGAGACTTTGTGCCAAGAGCTCTTCAAAACAGGAATAGCCACACTCCTGTCTTGGATGCCCTGGGCACCCAAGGTTTAAGCCACAGGACTCTTTCTTGTACAAAGATGCTTTGTTTCTGACCTCTCCTGTCTGAAGTTAGGAAACCAGAAAGGCCTCAAGTGACAGACAGAAGCCTCCTCTACCTCCTTTGAATGAGGTCCTCCTCCTAGATATTGCCTCTTACAATCATACTATCTAAAGTGTGTTCTGTGGGCCAGCAGCAGCAGCATCACCCGGGAGGTTGTCAGAAATGGATTCCCAGGCTCTGCCCAAACCTGCCAAGTCAGAATTTGCATTTTAACAAATGCCTAGGAGGTACAGCAGTCCCCTCCCCAACCCACCCTTAACTGTGGTTTCAGTTGTCCGTGGTCAACTTTGATCTGAAAATATTAAATGGAAAATCCCAGAAATAAACACTTCTGAGTGGTGTGATAAAATCTCAACACGTCCCACTCCACCCGCCTCCGTCCAGTCCAGAGGATGTGAATCATCCCTTTGTCCAGTGTCCCCATGTTGTGTGTACTCCCCACCCACTAGTCTTGCGTGGCCATCTGAGTGGTCAGGCCCACTGTTGCCCTATCATCTTGCTGTGTTTGTGCTCACACCACCTTCATTTACGTCACAATGGCTCCAAAGCCATCGGTAGCGGTAGTGATGCAGGCAATTTGGATATCATTTAAGTGAAAAGCTATGTATATACAGAAAAACCACAGCATCTACAGGTTTCAGTATTTTCCATGGTTTCAGGCATCCACGGAGAGTCTTAGGGTGTATCCACCTTGGTTAAGAGGGAACTAGTACACAATCTTGAAATATTCAGACTCTTTTCCTTTCTGGCTCTTACTGCAACCTGAAATTCTTATTATATATTTATTTGTGTATTTTAAATAAGTATTTTAATAGCTAAGCCATAAAACCCACAGGATGTTTTTCCAGCACTAACTTGGTGCCTGGCCTACACCAGGTGCTCATTTAATATGTGCCGGATGTATGATTCTCTGGTAGTTCCCACCTGCCCATGGCCCTGGGATGGCCCCACATTTTTCTTTTTGTTTTTCCTGTGGTGGCATTCTCTCATGGTACCTGCATACTTTCCTGGGCAGCCAACCAGGTCAATGATCTTAGTACCGCACCCAAACATAGATGATTTTCTTTGTACATTTGAACATCACACTAAGCCAGCCGTGGGCAAACTATGGCCCGCGGGCCAGATCCGGCCCGTTTGAAATGAATAAAACTACTGAAAAAAACGACCATACCCTTTTATGTAATGATGTTTACTTTGAATTTATATTAGTTCACACAAACACTCCATCCATGCTTTTGTTCCGGCCCTCCGGTCCAGTTTAAGAACCCATTGTGGCCCTCTAGTCAAAAAGTTTGCCCACCCCTGCACTAAGCAATGGTCATGCTCAACAGTAAATGAGGTGCTGATTACATTTTGAAATGCTGTTTATTGTCTCACAGAGGCAACACAGGGGGGGATTTTATGATGTCAGGATTTCCTATGAATTGCAAGCATAACTGAGAAACCACAATGAACAGCAATGTTATTTAAGTTAAGAGCTTTCAACCAAAACAATAAAATCATAGACTATTAGAGCAAAGAGGGAAGGACCTTCCAAGTCAAGTTCACTTTCTTTCCCCTAAAAAGCTGACGCCCAAAAGTTTAGACTGACTTCCACATCTCCAGATTAGTGCTATGCTAGGGCTTTGCCTTCAGGAGACTTCTACACTCATTACAACCCACTTGGGCTGGAGAAGAGATCCACTTACCAGGAAGGCAAAGGACAGAGCCCCTGGAGAAATCCTATCTAATAAAAG